ATTCCTTTAATTTTGATCAATTTCTTTGACTGAAATTGCTTGTCGTATAATTAATAAGTAACTTCTGTTTGAACAACTTTTTGAGTAAACATTTTTGACAAAAATATTACTTTAACGAGACGTTATCTTTTTTTGGATTCTCCTATATGTTCATCACGATTTTTCACGCATTAGCGTGAAACAAAAAGTTGTTCGGGAATTATATAACGACGATTTGCGATAATGAAATTGGTAAGTAATTCTTTATATAATAAAAAAAAGATTACGATTATTTAAACCTTTTTCAGTAAAATTGTATGTTTTCGTTCATCAATTGATAGATCTCCACATGCTTTTTAAAAACGTATTAACAAGGGTCTTACTAATTCGAAAATGAAATACTTCGACTACTAATTTCGATTAATACTAATTTAGTAGTATTAAATTTTAATACTAATTACTAATTTCGATTTTGAACACCGTGGAAAGACTCGAATCGACAGTTTCGATAGACCCAAAATAGATCGCAATGGAAAGACGCAGTATTTCCAAGAACAAGAATTAAAGTGCAAGAAGTTCGACGTCTAAGAAAGGGAAGATTCTGGAGCCATCGAAGAGGAGCGCTCATCTAAGAAACGAAGAGCGCTCGGCACGAAGCAATATCGCGATAGCGGATGCCAGCGGGTCGTGTATTTTGTCGCGAAAGTCTCCGGCGCATCGGAGTATTTGGCCGTTTGTCGGACCGCGTAAATACGCGACAATGCCGTCCTTTGTGGGGCTCGTCTATCAGCGATGTTTGCCAAATAAAAGCCTATATACGGGCCTCTTTGTCTCTGTCGAGCTCGTGGCGGGCCGAGAGCCCACCCCCGGCGCCGCACCACCCCCGCACGCCAATGATACGCCTAGTTGCCTATGAAACCCGGTATGCCCCCTCGGTGCGTGTACAAAGGGGCATCAAGTTAGCGGTGACGGTGATGCAAAGTATTTCCAGGGTGGAGAACACGTGCGGACCCGAGGGGTTCTGACGACCGGTGCCCCCCTAAATCGGGGACGACAGCCAGCATACGTTGGGCGAGGGGGCGAGGGGTGGCCTATTTGTGGGCCGAATTTGTTCGAAACATTAGCTGTCACCTAAGAGAATGCCCAGTTCCTGGAGACTACATTAGCTTCTCTGTAGTGGTGACTCTGAGGCGCCTTTACAAATTGTTATTTTAAAAACTGTCAAAAGTGCAACTGCTGTACGAGTCGCTCTAAGTCATACGAAGTGAAAATACTTAGGTCGGAAAACTATTTTGGATATCAAATACAATATCGCAGGCATTTAATTAACACTAAATCGAGCATTAGAAGATTGAATTTACTTGTACTTATACTTTTCGAAATTTTTATTAACTACATGTTTGTGTCTATTCAGTATACAAAAGAGTCTTTATAGAGAGAGAGAGAGAGAGAGAGAGAGAGAGAGAGAGAGAGAGAGAGAGAGAGTTTCAACGATTTAAAAATAAATATATGAAATCGTTTATTTTGACCGGTTCGATAAGTTTAGTGTTAACGAAATCGAAACTAGAATGATAAAATTTACCATGGGAAATATTAGATTGACTCTGCTATATTTAGAAAATCCTAGCTACGTTCAATTTGTTCAACATATTGCAATATAAATGAACTTGAAAACCTGGTTAAAAATTAGTGTCACCTATATGTGACCGACGCGACACTCTCCGTGTTAACTCTTGAAGCGGAGGGTCGAAGACATCTCAGACCCTGAAATTATAAAGAATTTTTGTAGAAACTGTACAAAGAATCAGTGTTTTGTATATGCAAGTATTGCAGTCTAACTTTATTCTACAATTGGTATTATTGGATAAAGCAACTCTCTCTCTCTCTAGGCGACTGGGAAAATCCAGTATCCCCTGGGTATTACCAGACAAATCTACTTAGCTCCCAAGCTGATAAGATCTGAAAGAATACAGGAGGGTGTAAGGTTGTTAATAGCTTAAACGGCAGTCAGATTGACATCAGTCAAAGTAAGCATGTTTCTACGCGTATCTCTATCGTTTCTAGAAATTTCCGAAAAGTCATCCCGTTGGTTTCGGCAGATTTTTATGCATACCGAGCACACAGCATATGGTAGTTCAACCGCAACCTGTACTATGAACGACGTGCGTCTATTTTTCAGATTTATATTGAAATGATCGAAACACTGAACCATATTACATAGGCGTTAAAGTGTCCTTCCCCCAAGGCCTCCAAAAATTCTAGATACATTTCCAAAACTATAATTTATCCTCCAAAGCTTCTAGATTCATTTGCGAAGAACCCGACGGGCAATTGCGACGAGATGAAACCTACAAACGACCCTTTGTCCCGAAAAAAAGAGCGCCCTCGCCAGCCAGCCATCTCATATTCAACAGCGGGATCCGCAGGCGGTCTTGATCGCCGAAAAAATCCTCAGGAGGTGAAACCGAAAGAAATTCGCACCCTAAATCCGGTGTACGTCACTGGCGTCGGCGTGATATTGATCTCCTCGGTTGAAACACAACCGGTTGAGCACCGCGACGCCTTCGCATCCCCTCCATATAGCTGGTGTTCTAAGGGCGGGTCCGGACGCCGCCAATCCCCCGTCGTGATCCGCGACTTCCTCGTCAAGGGATGAAGCTCCCGCCCCCGTTCACTCTCGTCGATCGGTCGTCTATCTCGCGGCGCCTCGGTTTGGAGGGGGTGGAGGTCGGCGTCGTCGTCTGTAGGGGGGTTGATTTTCACTGTCGATGCGGTGGCTCCCGTCAAAAAAGCTTCAGAGTCCGGCCGGCCGACACAGGTTCGAGCTGTCACGTATCGTGTCACGATTCCCTCGGTGTTCCTCGCAGGGAAAACCACCCCCGTCAGCCCCCGCGAAAGAAATCGGTTTCGGTTTCCAACCCTCAGGATGCTAAACGCCCGGTCCGTGACGGCTCGTCGAACCTCGATGCTCGTCAGGATACCTGCAGACGATCGGATCTTCCCTTGAGACTGGTCACCGGGCTCGAAGAACCCGAACAGGGTGAACTACCCCTCGCCTGGAACAGTGGAGCGAGGAATTCTCGTGTTACGGACGCTTCGAGTGCCTCTTTCGTGATACCTTGTTTTGTGGCTGCTCTTCTTTTCATTGGACTGTGACTCTGGACGCCGGGGGGTGGAAGAGGGTTAACAGTGATCGGGGGTGGTTGCAGAGGTTGATCGAGACGGTTCTTACGGATTTCGAAGGATATCGCGGACGAGGGTTTTCGAAGTGAGTGGAACAGTGTGATAAGAACTGAAGTATCAAGAGTTTTCGGATACTTGCAACCATGTTGGAATTCTACCCGCCGCTTCCCGGTACCCTGAACCGGCAGGCTGAATCAGGTCCGCCGACGATGGGCTCCGCGGCGCCGCCGATGCCGTTTAGACCTACGAATGATAATAACAATGGAGGTAAAAAGTAGTTCTCAATTTGTAGAATCGTAAAACTTCAGTTTGATAGTGTTTACGTTTGATTGAGTTATTAATTTTGAAGGAATTGAAGCTTGAGTGTGCTTTCTAGTTAGACAGAAGTAGTGGTAGGAATTTTGTAGTTCGGTGTGTAGCGAATGTTTGGTTTTCATTATTGTTTCGGGAGAAAGTATTCTTCTTTACTGTATCTAAAATATTAAGAAACAAGTCGGTGGAAGTGCTTACTAGTAGATAAATAATTAACTTCGATTTTGAGATGCGTTTCTCTTTAATACAATCAACACGATTGAGAAACAAGATATTTGTTCCATTTATAAAATGTGAAGATCAGTTTCTTAGTATTAGCATATGCTTAAACACTATTCTTCGACGTTGTATATGATGACTAATAATTTTTCTGGAATATTTGGAATTCTTTGAGTAGGCTATTTTATGCATCAATAACAAAAGAGAATTGCTCTGTTAACGAACCACAGTCTATTATTCTGTAAATCTTAATTTCATGCGCACGATGTCGTGTACAATGGAATGCTTATTAAAATATCTGCTGAAGAATATACAGTGTAAAAGTAGCGGTAATCTTCTTGTAGCTGTAGCTGTTAGGAATAGTTACAGCGAACCGATCAAACACGAGATGACTGTCACAGAGAAACTTATCATATTCCGTCGTAGCATCGCTTTATCACTATCGGCAATCGATAAGCGACGGAATAAATTTCATGGGCCTCGCGATATTGCTTCGCTCCCAGAACGCTATCACATTTCTCAGTCCGACAGCGATATCAGTCAGAATAACTCCCCATGCATTTATTTCTATCGCGGCGGAACTGTTTCGCGGTTTCAAAACTCGATAGAAAACTGTTGCAATTCTTCTGCGAATAAACGCAGCCTACGATTTACCATTGAACGACTTTTGTAGCATGCACAATTTTCATTTCATGTCGAAGATTTCAGAGAAAAATGATTGAAAGACCATTTCGCATATCACGGATTGTTTTACATCAAAGATTTCAGACAGAAATTACTTCAAGAGTAAAAGTAGATTTGTTTTGTATTTATACTGTTGCATCGGAGTTTCTATTTGGCTCCTGAACCTTGCGATCGATGCAGACAATGTTTATTTTGCATGAAACTCCGCAATATCATATTCTGAAAGATTGAAGTACTTCGTCTTCAGCTTTCAACAAAACAAGCAATCTACTGTTTATATCCCGCTTTTTGTTTGCTCAGTCTATCAATTGCAAGCGTACGCCTGTTAGATAAATATTTGGAACCGCTTCCAACTGTGGACAACTAGTTACTTCAACTACAAATGTAATAAGACAACGAAGCATCGACTTGAGAGTAGTTCTTTGGTTTCAGAGCCGTCGGTGTCTGTGAAAACGGAGTCCGGCCTCTTGGAGACGATCTGTGCGGGCTGCGACCGTACGATAGCCGACAAATACGTGATGCAGGTCGCCGGAAGAAACTACCACGAGGAATGTCTTTCCTGCGCCGTCTGTGCCGTTCCTCTCACGCAGTCCTGCTTCATTCGCGAGCTGAAGTTTTACTGCAGGTCCGACTACGAGAGGATCTTCAGCGTGAAGTGCGCCAGGTGCATGGAGAAGATCAGCTGCTCGGACTTCGTCCTCAAGGCGCCCGGTCTGGTCTTCCACGTCGAGTGTTTCGCGTGTTGCGTCTGCGGCCAGCCTCTTCCACCGGGCACCCAATACTTCCTGAGACAGGGCCAGCCGATCTGCAAAAGGGATTACGAGAATGAGCTTTACCTGAACAGCCCCCAAGGTTCGTCTCGATCGCTCAATTAATCGTCTCCCTCCCCTCTCTACGATCCTCATCTCACCTGTATTATGTTTTGTATCGTGCAGCTTGAAATATACTCTCCTTTAACCACTGCTTGCTTTCGTTGTGTCGAGTCATAGCCAATGGACTAATTGCATCTAGTTTACACAAATTTCAGTTAATTATTAGTATAACTTTCTTTATCTTTTATACTTTCTCTTGTCTACCTTGAAGCTTAAGATTTTCTTTTCCTCGGTTGCTTTTATGTTGGAGCTTCTAGTTATCTGCTTTTGTTTCGTCTATCTAGAGTAGAATAATAGAAAAGTGAGTTCACAAAAGTTTGAAGAACGCTGTACAACTTGCTGCCCTCTGTGCCACCGATTCCTTTCAACACAACCCAATGATTATTGCAATACCGTTTCAATATGTGTGTTTTGGATATTTCTCTCTGTTGCTGTGCTTTGTCCCTTGTTTCGTTCATTTCAGCTTATCGTTTCCTCGAGCCCCGATACTTCAATTCGAAGGACAAATTTGTCGAACGCTTGGAGAACTATTTTTGTTGACCCTTCTAGACCCGCGTTTCCGTAAATTGTTAGGTAGACAAGAATTAATCCTTAGCACTCAGAGCTTCGACAGCAAACTGCTCGACCATCGTCGTTCCTTTATCGTTGCGTTGTCTCGAAGGAAGATTGGCGATCCGTGCGAGATGATTAACGAAAGACCGTTCTAGCTTGAAGTTCGTTTTCTTTACCGCGACGCGATCAGGCTCCTTCGGTTCACGCTGAAACGGAACATTTATTAAGAAAATAAACGACCCACGTGCGAGAACGTATTGTACATACCTTGTTGCATTGTTCGCAGGTTGTACTACTACAATCTAAAGACATCCAATGTAAATACCTACAGGAATTTCATATCGAGGCTGTCTCTTTTCAAGGTAACTACACTTAAACCAACCGTAATTAGATGCGGTCCGAGAGTCGATTACTTTGTACGCCAATCTGCGAAGGGAACTATAAAGAGTCGAGATACTGCGTTCGTGGGTTTCCATTTTCTCTTTGACGTTAGATCATAGAAGAGCAGTTTGTTAGTCAGGACTCCGTGCAGACTCGGTCAAACAGTTTCTATTCAACAAGATCTCTTGGGTTCAACGGTCGGCGAAATATTCTCCCCTAAATTCACTTACTCGTCTGTCTACTTGGATTGTTCTTGGAGCTGGCGATTGTCTCTTTTGTCCTCCTAGTTCGTCTCGTTTCTCGAGCTTAACGTGTTCGGGCTTGCTATTCGGAAGTTACAGTGATCGTTGCGAGGATCAGCAACATCCTCGAATTTGATTGAATGGAAACATGTCTGATTTTCGCCAGAGCTCGTCGACGTTCGACTAACTCCGACGATGTTTCAGAGTGCTTAACGATTCATTGCTCGACAGACTATGACCTGCTGGACGAAAGTCGGCCCCGCGATGGTCGTCGAGGTCCGAAACGGCCCCGGACCATCCTCACCTCAGCGCAGAGGCGTCAGTTCAAGGCCTCGTTCGAGGTCTCCCCGAAACCCTGTCGGAAAGTCCGCGAAGCACTGGCGAAGGACACTGGTCTCAGTGTTCGCGTGGTGCAGGTCTGGTTCCAGAACCAGCGGGCCAAGATGAAGAAGCTGCAGAGGAAAGCGAAGACCGAGCCTGGATCGGACAAGGAACCAAAGGAAGAACGCCGACCGGAAAGCCCTCACAGCGATCACAGTAAGCCATGTTCTTTCTGTCTTCTTGCTCCCACAACTTCCTCGACTCTTCAAACATCTCCATTATTTAGTAACTTTCTACTGTCTCAACCACTTCCTGCTCTCTAAATCTACTCTTCATCAATCCAAACATCTTCGTTATTTTTATTTTACATTATTATTTCATAACTTCCTACTGCTTCAATTATTTCCTGTTCTCTATGTCTCCACTTCATCAATCAAAACGTCTTCATTATCTTTATTTCATTATTATTTAGTAACTTCTTATTGATTCAACTTATTCCTGTATTCATATAATTGCAAGTATCCTCTTCATCAATCAAAACATTTTCATGAAAGAGCGATCTTCGCACGTGGTTTGGTAAAAGCACTTGTATCTTCAACATCCTCGTCAATTGCTTCAATTGTTGTCAATGTTCTTCGTTCCTGAAACGAGAATAATTTTATCAAACCATGTATCATTGCAATCTGGAGTTAACAGAAAGTTGATTCGTGCTTGAATCATTCACCTCGCTTGTCCGCAATCATTCTGAGTAGACGAAGACGTTGATTCCTGCTTTGATCCTAATCTTCTCGCATCGCACTCACGAATCCGCACACACTATCAGCGAAGACTGGTTAATGGGGCTCTGCAAAAAGACACACTCGGTGCAAAATGCCAATCGTTTGATCTCGTTCGCAGGTCATTATTTGAACGCCATGAACATGCGCGACGGGGAATCGTCTAGCTTCTCCTCAGCCACGCAACCGCTCAACCCCAATAACCCGTACTCGCCCGACGGTAAGTCTCTTTCTCGCCGTAGAAACAATAGAACCGGGTGCATCTCCAAATTGTATTGTTCTTTGACTACCTGTTCTTCTATGACACCCTCGAAAACCCAGAACAATAGCTCCCTCCTTGATCCAAAGAAAAATCCGTGCCTTCTAACATTATAATATCAAAAAGTTCAAGGATAGCTGATCTATCAAGCATTTTAGAGTCAAAGAAGTGTGTTTAAGACTAATGAAGACCTTGACAAGGACCTGAAGAAATTTGTATCTAAACCTCAATTAAAAGTTCCAGGTTTTCTATCAATATAATGTTAATTAATCCAGAAGTAGCTGATAAAGATTTTAAGCTCCAAGAAAAGTGTCTAGGATCATTGGTATTCTTTATAAAGATCTAATTAAATCCGAATCAGAAACCTTCTGACACGATATAATATTAATAAATAAAATATTTGTAAAATATTAATGAAATATATTAATAAAAGTGTCTAGGGATAATCAAGATCTTGCTAAGACCTTGAATTTTTCACAATCTCAAGCTCATTGGAAGCCCGATTTGAAACAATGATCCGACACATTGTCGAATTAGTGGGCGCGTTAGTCGAATTAGCAGAATCTAGAGAACCTATTATCAATTTTCAGACACATATCCTGGACATTCGGGAGAGAGTTTCTGTAGCAGCGATTTGTCGCTGGACGGAACGGAAGCTGGCTTCGACATAGGCGAAAACGAGGGCGGCGGCGGCCAAGATGGCGGCCATCAAGGTGGAGGATCCCACCCCCATCACGGGCCAACATCGCACGAGGCGCCATCCTTGTCGCAAAGTTTGCACGCCGCGATTCACAACCCCATCGACAAACTGTTCATGATGCAGAGTAGTTACTTCAGTGGTGACCACGCGTAATCCGAAACCCGTTTCCCCCATTGTTTCCTTTCGTTTGGTGCCGGATCGGTTCTCCGGACCCCATGACGTAGCTGGTCCCTGCGTCGAACAGCGTGAACCCCCATTTTCCGTTCCTTTCTTTCATCTTCTTTCTTTCTTTTTCATACATATGTCATTTCCCAAATTTTGTTAGTGTTCAACTGGTGGTGTGATTCATGGTGCACCGTAACTTCTTCAGATAGCAATATTTTGATATTGAAATGAATTGAACGCGTTCGTGAAGTTGAAACTGTGATGTTTTTCTTGCAATTAACGCATTTTCGTTTTATTTGATGTAAAGATCAGCCTTTTGGCGAATCTTTGAATTAGTACAGACGTAGGTGATATTTATTTAAATAAATGCACAAGGTCGCTCCACTGGTTGACGATCGAACGTTTTATTTGTTTAGCGCAGAGTATTTTATATTCGCGGAGAGTAATAATTTATTTAACAATTGCTTGATTGTACCGGTGATTGCGGGAATGTTAACGAGACACTTCGTTCAATATTTTATAGAGAGATAGGGAAACTGCCTGCGTTTATTTATGTAATATTGTTAAGTTGATAGAGCGAGGTTAGAGTAAGCTACAGTAGGATATGTACAAAACGTTATCGAATCCATTTCCTTTTCATTCTTCATCGAACCTACCAATTCAAGAGGATTTATTTTCCATATTTTCGATTCGATATTGTTATTAGACTGCGGACGTTTATGTAACGATAAAGCAAGCACGTGTTAATTATTTAACATGATCGAGAAAGTCTCAGAGATTGATAATGCACGTACGAGAAATATCGAAAATCCGTAGTCTAATTATTCTACAAATTTTTGTTTATCAACGGAGTATCATTCCGTTCATTCTGTGATTCGTTCTAATTATTTCCCGTCTCATTATCGCGCGATTCTCGTTCGTAGAGCAATCATTAATTTCAATGATGATCTCGATGTACCAAAGACAGCGAGGACACGATATAGCGCAAAGAATACCGCGGTTCGATTTACTATTAAGCGATGTATCCTTCGGTTTACACGTATAAAAAGATAAAAAAAAACATATATTTAAGCACCGACGAACGTTCGTACCTTATTTCTGTCCCGAATGATGGTCATCGACAGAGGAATCGATCGCACAGATCAGAATCCCTTTGTTAAAAATGATCCCTGGACGAAGAAAAGATATTAAATTAACGTTGAATCGCTGCGAAAGATTTCTTCAATTTGCATACCGATTGAAAGCAGAACAGATAGAGAATTTTCTCCAGGCTCTTAAAAGAATTATGAATCGATTGAAATAATTGCAGTGAATTTTAACAGACACAGAATTCTTAATTTTATGTCAAAGCCGCACAAGTGAAATTATTTGTTGCAGATTTAAATGAATTAATAACAAGCTGAAAACTGCAATGAATCCTGGCAATCATAAAATGTTCAATTCCCATTCTTTTAATCCTAGAGTAAATATATTTAAACGTTTGATGCGAAAATGTTCGTTTCTACCTATGTGAAAAATGTAAGAAATGTTTCGCAACGAATGAGCTACGAAAGGATCGTTTAGTAAATGTGAGGTAACTGAGAGAAAGGAATTTTACCAAGGAGATGGATGAATGAACAATGTAAATGAAAGTCAGTCCGAAGCACACCCTCGAGCTCTAGGAAGATGGATATTCAGGAAGCGTTGACGTGTTGAATCGTAGCGTTGCAATCCGATTTACAGAGGAATAATAGCCCGGCTATGTCCGACGAAGCGATTAACTAGAAACTACGAATTAGTGAGAATTACAATACATTATATAAAAAAAAGACCGTCATATATTCATTCATTTACCCTAGCGCGTCTTGATCTTCGTTGCCTTTAACTTGATTCCACTTTATCTCGCTGAAAGACGTTCAAATCAAATTGATTCAAATTTAGAAACGATGTGAAAATTAATATTCAATTTAATTGTCTTGAAGATCGATTGAGTACACTGCGGATTGTCATGCATTCTTATTTTACCTCGACAATTTTTAGTTTAATTCCACATGAAAATCCACAGTTTGTTAATGAGTATGCTGAAGATGAATACATACCTACTTACGTGACACAGACGATGGAAGTAGAACACGCCGGAATAAGTCAGACGGCGCAGGTAAGAATAGAGAGTTTATTATATCAGAGGTATAATGACAAAAAAAAACGAGCTGAAATTCAAAACATATACACAAAAATGCAGATCCCGTAAGAAACATCGCTTAGAAACGTACAAAACTCGACGACTGATCTTGAATAAGTTTCCCGTTCGTCGTAAGTACGATCTTCGATATTCGGTCCGGAGATTCTGCGAAATTCATCGGGTTTCCTTAAGCATCTAATTGAAACGATCACGTTCCATTACTTTCATAGTTCATTGATTTTCTTATCGTATAATTATGCGTTCCGTTTAAATGAGCCATCTGTTTGACAGTAGAACATAGCAGAAACTTGAAAAATAGAAATTCCCTTCGAAACATGGTACACACAGTTTTCAACGAGTTTATGCTTTTCTATTCGGATAACACGAATCAAGCAACCGAGGAATTTTTGTCTGTCAGATTAAGGAACGTTTCGTTAATGGAGACAATGTGGACGTTTATGCGAATTGAATTTCTACGAAAATCGAAAAAAATTCGTGCGTAGTTCGAGCGAGAACGGAAAGATTGACGGCAGAATCCACGGAGATGGTTGTGCGATCGTCGAAAACGCAAAAACAGGAAGATGGCTGAGCGATCGTCGACGAGATCGTTATTTCCTCCCTCTACGCTCGATGCACCAATAAATAATCCAGTCTTAATCATCATCAGACAATCATCAACAAACTTACAAGTGGAGATACAATTAAACTAGACTTTATATTAAATCATTGAAACCAAATTGATTTGTAAAATTGGCAACTGCGTTCAAAGTGAAAATTGATCGCCATGGATCATTCATGGATGCATCGAACGTATTTCATCAAGCTCTGCTTCTCCTCTTCTCCTCTTTCCTGCGCGATGATCCGAGCGATTTCCCGGCAGTGAAAACACGAAGCACCGATAAATCTCGATTTCATCGTGTACTTCGAACTTTGTCTGGTTTACCCTGCGTTGCTTTTGCGACAGCAAGAATCGTTGTACAAGCTTCTCGATAGAAAATAAGGCATAACAATGTACTACGTGTATTGCTGGCATCTGTCATAGACTTTCTTCTTCTAGTTCCTGATTTCCCTGCGTCCTGGTGCACGGTTCCGATGGGAACCAGGCGTTGGAGAATGTCTCTGGACCCTTTGATGCTCAAGAACGTCTTCGAAACTGTCCTGCGAGTTTGCTTGCTTTGAGTTTCTCCTAGATGGTGGTTGTTGAGCAATCAGTGCCGACTAGTCTTGGTGCATATCTATCTAAACCAAAGTTTTTTTAATCTTCATTAACTTGTGTTGTTCAAATTCGACATCTATGTTGGGACTGTGGGAACATCTCTGAGCTTCTATCATTGTTCTACATTTTCCTAGATAAATTTTCGTAACGAATCTTGGTCATCAATAGAGCCACTCTTGGGAAATGTAGTTCTAGATCTAGATTAATTGAAACTGGATCAGCCTCCACTGCCAGCTGTGGTGTCGATTCTCTTAATTCTCCTAGCTTAGCTTTAACAATAATCAATTCCTTTCCTAAGTATCTTAAGTCCTACAGCTGTCTGTCAACGCCTGTACGTAGTACTCGTAAGTACTCGTGTCACCGAGACGAAGGGAATAGCCCTTTGAACGATTGCGGACATCCGATCCGGAAGTTGGAGAACAATTAACGTCCATATACATCTGCAACTGGTCCAACAATTCAATAGAAATGCATCGCTCATTCCTGTATAAAATCTTCGATCACAGATTTCAGGTTTGTCGATCATTTACTTTCTGTACATATAGCTTTTTCCCGTTTCTTCATTCCATTTATCGAACATCGTTGGTTGCCCAGTGTTGGGCCCGATTGTTCGCTTTCATTTAACATATGCTAGACGATTGCATCTTCTTTTTAAAATTATTGTTCACGAGTGGAGCTGCTTTATGATCATATTCCATTTGGAAATGGCTAGGGAGTTTAAGGCGTCAAAATGATGAACCTGCTCGTTGGTAATTTCCTAAGTCATAGATCTCGGGATCCTCGCATCTCTTTGGCTCTAATTGACTACAACTTAACAACTAAAAGGCTTCTTCCGTTCTAGACTCTTAATCTCTAAACTTTGAAGTTCGGCGTCATCGACTCAATTGATTTCTTAAACTCCGAAACTTCCATACAATTGCAGGATCTTCAGCCCCACTCGTGGATAGTATCATAAAGATCGACGCCTCTCGCCCAGCACCGCGCGACTCCCACCTACGTCTTAAGAATCTAAAACAAACGGCCTAAGTGTGCTAACGGTGGTGACGGGATCGAAGCGTTCGTCCCGAATGCTCTCTGGCTGCTCGCATTCCCTAAAGATCATTGTGCCACTGCATTTACGGGGCACTGTCTACCTAAAGCGCTGCTCTTTAAGCTAAACTGGGAGAAGCTGCGGCCCACACCCTATGCAAACCATGTGTTCCTATCGAGCATCTCTCTCCCTCTCTCCCTCTCTCCCTCTCTTCCGTTTCATCTCTCCTTGCTCTCCATGATGGATACCTGCTGATCATCTTCTTGCTTCACTTGAATGAGTCGACGATATCGACGATGCTGACGTAGGTGCCAACCACCAGACCAACCAGACCGAAGACGATCAGAAAGATGTTCTTCAACACCATGAACATACAGGGACCGAATTCTTTCTCTGGCCAGATCACGCAGATCTCGATGATCGCTGGAAATGCGATGCCCACCGCGGAGAGACATAAAGCGCCGAAGAGGGAGATGAAGAGGCCCAGTCTGGGTACTGTGATCGCCAACGTGACTGCGAGAAGAAATAGATTAATTGTTGAAATAGATCTTTGAACGGCATGAAAAGTTGTGAACGCTTACAAGTGGACAGAGTTATGATCGTTCGACAGACGTATTCCCAGAAGAGTTTTCTCTTTTGCACTTTGTGGTCGAGGTAAGTGTACCATATAATTTCAACCGGAACGTATCCTTGGAGGGCGTGAGTTATAAAGATGGCGATGGCGAACATTATCTTGATGCTCTGAGCCATGCTGAAAAGAAAAATTATTTACTGGATTTGTATTACTACGATTAACAATTAGTAGAAGAAATATGTTGATTATAATGGTCTGCTTACATTTGATCAGGAGGCAGGTTGAAGGTGACACTACCACCAGCTTTAGGACCATACTTTATATATCCGAAGAACCCCATCAGAATGTAGAGAGCCACAATAACCGTCATTCCGATGTTCAGGACACCACAGTATCCTCCAAAATATTGTGGAGTCTTCATGTTGTTTTCCAGCGCGATGATCTACAAGAAAATTAATTATTGATAAGTATAAGGTCTAATTAATTGTTATCGATGTATTGTCCCCTTCAATATTTTCTTAGGGATGGAAAATTGACTGTAATTTTTACTTTATGTTTGGAGGGAGTGGATTAGATAATCCACGCTTTGAGGGCCACTGAGGATTATTCTTCGGGCTGAGAACAGCTGGGAAATAATAGCAGGGACTGCACTCTGACGCACTGACACAATCTGACAACGGCAATCTCAAACTTGCCCGTAAGTGGTCAGTTATTTGTTTATTAACGATGCGGCGGCGCCGTTAATCTATTCTAGTCGCAGGCTACTCGCCACCGCCGACAGTTGCGATCGACGAGATCTAAAGATAGATCGATCGAGATACGCGACTATAATTGAAGACGATACAAACTCTGTGATTCGAAGTTATCTTGCAACAAAATTGCTGCTGTATATTAATGCGACAATCATTTTTTGGAATTGCACTTCTTGGATTTCTCGAGCGTTTTGGAAAAACTTCCCTTACAGTAAATATTATGTATTAATAATATTCATAATTCATTTCTAGATCTATTGTAAGAAAGACTAGACTTGTTTGGACTTAGTTGTATAACTTGGAGAAAAGAACTTGCAGTGCTATATTAATAACTTGTTAATGATGCTAATTAATTGAATACTAATCTGAACATAATTAGCAGATAAAACATATTGAAGGATAATTTTCTTGTTCAGAAAGGAAGAAGAATTGGAAGAATGGAAACTCTGGAACACTCACCACGCCCACAGCTTCTAACGCGAACAACGTTGTACCAAAATAAAGGGCGAAGTTCCTCAAGGTACCAAACATCTCCCTCTCGCTAGGAGATGGAAGGTCCTCGAACATGTAGACTAGGATCATGGCAAGGCCGACGAATGTGATCGCGTTCGCCAGGGTGGAGAACGGCGCCAGTAGCTTCAGATTCCTTACGTAATTGATTAAAATCAACGGTAGCAATAAAATGAGCATGTGCGTTTTAACATCCAACGGTTCCCAGTACTCGTCTGCCACCTGCATTTAGCAACAGAAAAATGGACAATGTTTAAGTATATACATCCGAATGATCCGTTTTGTGATAGAGTTGTTTCATTTTCTTTTTCTTTTAATCTTTTTTTTATCATTACATTATTTTGTTTTGATTTGGCACTTTTTCCTCTGCTTTTTGGGGTGACGAAGAGGGTTGGTATCTCTACACCTGTTATTTACCTGCTTTATATTCGACGCTACAAATACGATATAAACGCAGCATATTCCCAATTGATACGCTATCATGAACCCGTCTACGAGTCCTCTGGAAATAATAGCAACTTTCATGTTACAATTGAAGGAGAACTATGACGCCGCTGTGTGATTGATGATTGTGCGTGCGTGTATGAGAGACAGAGATATAGACAAATGGATAGAGGCAGAGAGAGAGAGAGAGAGAAAGAGAGAGAGAGAGAGTGGGAGGAGAGTCGATTTTCTGATGTGAAATAGATTGTTCGAAGTTAGTCTATCATTAGCGATCTCTGATCCGAGTGAAATGATTGCTCTGGCAATTTTCCAATTCTGACCAAAATTTGTCTACTCATATATGTAATGTTTGAAATTATGCAAAGTTATTTTTATCTGTCATTTGTAATACCAAATATTGTTCCTTCTACACGAGAAGACTATGAACCCACTTGTTTGTCTTTGGTAGAAGCTGAAAATAGAAACCAAGGCATACAGGACGTAAGTAGAATCGATCAATCATAACCAGACTATATCCGTTTCAAGAAAATTACGCTAAAACTTCACGAAGCTACGTAAACTAATCTAGGTCGAATGTTTCAGTAAAATCGAATCTGTTTGACACACAGGTAGACTGCTATGCAAATTAAGAGGGCGATACATCTCGAAAAATCAATTAGACGACACGCTGATCTATCTACAAGAACTGAAAATATTGATTATGTCAATTTCTACATTATTCTTGCTTCTTGTGATTGATCTATCAATTAATTTTGTATTCTAACATTATTTAGTAGTTCCTTTTTATTATTATTATGTAGAAGTTCCAATGACTAGACTGCGGACGTTTATGAAAACATTGTAATTTGTAATAGCAATTACTCAATTCGACATCTAATCGTATAAAACATGATTGTGTCTACTAATAGAAAGGCTCAGAGAATTTTCAATTATCATTGCCTTGCACAAACATAAAATCCGCAGATGTTTACCCAACAGGTGACTTTATGCAAAACAGAAACTGCTTGTATTAATTGCAAGTTAACTGAGCTGTATAGACATTCATTTCATTTTTTGATAGTTGTGACTAGTTGAAATTAATACAGAATCATTCTTAAATTCCTAGAATGTCTCCGCTGCGTTTGATCTACTGATTTTCGTCATAAAATCCGCAGTCGATTAGGTTACAGTTCAAGCAATGATAAGCAAGAAGAAGACGAATGTTCTGTGCGTGTCTATGTGGCCGTGTCGAGTGCTCTTACTTACGGTGCGTAAGGTGCGAACCATCGGACACACTCCGGCCCTTCCTGCAAAGCGTACTTCATGCTCATCGGGTAACTCAATATAGGAACTCTTAACCGTTTACACAGTTTGTACTGAGCCTTCACCAATACGTGAAGGCAATAAGTGCATAACACTCCGATAATCACTGTCGCTATCACACCAGTCACCAGTCCACTGTTGCAGAACGCGTTCGGCATCGCCAAGATCCCTGTACCGAGACTCCCTTTCAACAAGTGGATCAACGTTTCCGCATTTCTGAAAGCAACCAATCATTCGCATCAATGATCGTCATTAATTTCGTCGATAATGCTTCAGTATACAAAGGAGAAACAGAATAAGAATTTCGATTACTCACGAGGTTGGATTCGGCCTATTTCGATGCTTATGGGGGTCATAGTCTTCTGCGTCTGCAGCCGGCGATATTGGGACTTCCGACGCGTTCAGGCCACTTCCGGCGATTTCATTGTTAACCCTGCAATCGCATCAATTTGCAAATGTAATCGGTATTTCCGAGTTTTGTCAGTGGAACTCGGGATAGCCCATGTGTGTATATGCGTGCGTGTGTATACTTAGCGAGCAGCAATTTGTAAATATATGATAATGCCATAATGCATACACCATTCCCTTCTAGTATTATTAACAGTGATGGACCTACGGTTTGCTTAATCAATTCCAATCCCGTTTAATTGTAACCAAGTTAAGGGTGGAAAATCGAAGTAGAATAGAACCTACTTGTACGGACTGTCGGGGCCGATCAATTGCATATTTATCGTCTCTTCCTTCGCGTTCTCCATCTTCCTTCGTCGCTCCTAGACCGTCAACAGAGAAAGCAGAATTTAACATAATCTGCTCGTAATTGTTACGCACAGATAGTACAATCGTGTTACAGCGCAAGACTATAAATTAGACTATAATCTAATAGCATGTAGAGTTTAAGAATGATATGCTGCTTTTGATTTAAGTGGAAACAATTTTTAACGTGCGCGTACTTCTAACGCTTCGTAAGTCTTCTACAAGAAAATGACCGCTTATCCAATTACATTACTTCCATTAGCCTGAGGTCACTGCGAAGTAATTTATCAAAATCATCATAGATCCGTAGATTAATTTTATCCTCATTAACATTGTACTCAATAACTAGACCACAGATTTAATGCTTTTATGACAGTCATGGTTAGATAAACTTTCAGAATATTTATGTTATTTGCAGCTCATTGAAATTCTTGAAAGAAGAAGACTAGAAGACACAGTCCATCGCTAGCTATCAGCAGTCTCTACTTTTACAAGAGGATGGCCTCTGCACTTAGCATCGCTGGTTAGCATTGAGAAAGCAGAAACCTGAACAGGAGTTACTCAAAACGATCAGAATTGGTAGGAGCCAATTCGTCATGTATGTTGGAGCAATTAAAGTAGCATAATGTCCGTTGAAGGGGACGTTTCCTACAGCTTAATCGATCGCGCCCACGAAAGTGCTATCGGATTCACGAGTCCAAGACGGTGAACCCGGAGAGTCTTCCGGCTGGCATGATCGTTTAAGGATCAGAGAATCGACCTAGATCTGGCCACAGGCTCGTGCATTAAGCCTCCTAATCAATTGGCGGATATGGAGCAACGGCGATGGTGGAAAAAAATGCCAATTCATCGTTACGAATCTCTTTCTTGTTCTGGCCGGGATGCGGGCGCGACGCGACGCATCACGTCGCAGGCTTTAGCACATTCTTTCACGAACTGATTGCTCTTAATTATTGCATTGAGGTCAAATGTAGTTAACTTACTGAAGGTTACACGATCTGTATTCTCACTTCTCCGTCGCCAATTGATCCACGGTTATTCCGCCGAACGAAAAGGTCTCTGCCGCGGTTTGTTACGTCTACGAGCACGGATACCGCCGCCAAGTCGGGGCTATGGAGGAACTATTCTTTGATCGACCCAATATACTTTGTCGAATCTAGGTGATCGCCAGGTGAACAGTGTATCGCACATATCTTTTTCCCGCCGTCGAAAACAAAAGAACGTACGGCTTTTCGAGGGATTTCTAGTTTCCCGTGCTCGAGATCGTTAACGGTGCAGAAAATCGTTAAAAAAAAACGAGGAAACGATTATCTAATTAGTCGAAGAATCACGGTGAATGGAAACTGTTGGAACGCTCGACCGCACTCGCGGCTTCAATTTGATTGAATAATGATCATCTGCGGAGACACAATCGCTGGAACGAATGCAAACGAACAGCTGTCTCCACGCGGCAATTTGAAGAAAAATGAACCGGCCACGCTGTAGCAACCGTTTCTACGATTCTTGTGGCAATAGCGAGCCTATTGATTGCTAACTGTATTGATGTCAATTCTAATAGCCGCAGTAATTCCGGCGATCGAATCAGAAGCGCTGCTTTTAGGACAACAAGATAAATATGGAAAAAGTCTGAACGGTTTCCATTCTGTTACTTTTAGTTGAATTTCGATCATTAAATCAACCATTCACGAATCTGTTAAACTTCTGATTTCTTGCTAACGATGAAACGCATCTCGACAACTCTTTACATTTATAATAAATTTTTTGAATGAAGTCTAATGTTCTTAAGAATAATAGATTTCACGTAGAGGTATTCTTAATCAGAGAACTCATGTTTCCGGAAATATCCAACCCAACGACAAGCGTTTGAATCATTCACACCGCACCGAATCCTTGACAAAGCCTCATCTCGCACGACAGGCTAAATTCGGAGCTCATTTGTCTATGTCAATGGTGCTTATTATATCGTACAAAGCCCCGTTTAACTCGATGTAACACGGCCACAACAAGCAGCTTAACAATTTCATTTGGTCGTTGACATTGCGCGCGCCGTTTACTAACGCAGGACCAGACGATACATTTCTGTGCTCATCGGTTGCTAGAAAAAACTGTCCTCCGATTTCCTAATCCTTCCAAACAATCATTTCGTCCGATCTGCTCATCTTCTCACCTCTTAACGCTACAAATCGACGCGTTTTTTCCTCAAGCGGCGGGCACGTTCGCTGGTTTTCTTCGACGGACGGTGTCTTCTCCTGCAAGACATGAAAATCGTTAGGAGAAATACATAAATTATGGTTTCTTAGCAATATTAGAATATATCAAAATATAAAATTTATACAATTTATATAAAGTTTATACAATGTTTATATAAAACTTGTATAATTAATAAGCCCCATTAGAAGCTAGAAATTTCGCTCAACAGTCAAAATACCATTAAAAGATAAAGCTTTAACTTCAAAATGACACGTTCATGATCTTTTTATATTTTTATTATTTCATATTTTATTATTTGAAGAAATGACTGCAGGAATAATTTTAAATATCGTAAAAATAGGGAAAAATCTCATTGTTATTCAAATTCAAGGTACAAAGCTCTGTAGCTGTGTTTCGAATAAAGTTTAGAGGTAAATCACTTCTGAGTAGTTCGATGGGAGGGTACCCACAAGTATAGTAATCGATCTCCTAATTCTTACTTCCTCAGAGCGAACCAGGGGGGACACGTCAAACGGCTCATCATCGCGCAAACCCGAAACAATGTCACCAGGAACATATATTTAAGCGTCTGCTAATTTTAGACGTCGAAACAATCCCGCCACCTGGTTTAAAGAAACACGCGAAGACGTAACGGAGTCTTGTAGATCATCGAATTCTAGGCATCTCGATCCCATGCGAGTAAAAAATTTACGGATATCAACTTGGAACTTGGGTTCGATGGATCAAAAATGAACAATAGAAATACAAACAAACGAGATGCTAAGATTCTTTCAGCTGAAAAATTATACAGAGGAACAGAGTTATATACTTGAAAGTTAAGCGACAAATAAAATATCTCGACTATCGATTAATCGTCCCCGATTTTTCTAAGGATTATTTAAAAAATAATACAGTAGAGTATTTTCTGAAAAATCGGAGCCTTGGATTTTTGAGTAAAAAAAAATTATGATTGTAAAGTTTTAATCGATTTATCGATGCACGAGATATGGAGTTGCACACTTCGATGTTGCATAACAAACAAAATGTCTCAACATTCAATGAACCATCCTCGATGTTTCTCAGGTCAATTAAAATAGTGATACAAGCTCAAGGATTGTTCGTTAAGTCGGAGCTTTGGGTTCCAGAAAATTGTAAGTGGAAGATTTTAATTGATCTGAGTTCTAATTGATCTAGCTTCTAATTCTTTTATAGATCTACAAGAAATAGTGTTGCAGATTCCAGGGTTGCGTAACGAATAAAATATCTCGATTTTTAATTAACCGTCCCCTATTTTTCTTGGGAGCCGTACAGAGCGTTATTAAGATCGATGAGGGGACTGTTATGCAATAGCTGAACCGCTTGTACATTCCAATTGGCGTGACATCGTATCGGCGACCTGTTACCCATCTTTGAATAATCGTGCCTTATGGTTTCAAGCCTTGTCGCGCGTATCGTTCGCAATAACCGTGAATGAATTGACCGACGCTGCCATTTTTAGACTCGATGGCGTCTCTATCATCCAACAGAATGACCGTTCTCTACATGGTTCGAAGGACTAGAGCCGTTCGCCGATAAAAATCCTATTCTACATTCCGATGAAATCATGCAATTAACTTTAGTTGACCGTCGAAAATCGACACTGCAAGCGCAGCGTAGATGCAGTCCAGCCTGCTCTTCACTGAAGCCAAAGAATGCAACAACCTGTTAGAACCACGCTCTTTACTGGTAAACACAGAATGATCTTGGCATGAGTCAAGAATCAGTATATACATATTCTGATATGTTACACAAAAGCAACTGTGAAACAATTTCCTATGAATCTCCAAAGCACCCTGCATTCCTCAGTTCGTAGACTTCACTATAGTCTGAAAATTAGTCTTCTAACGAGCGCAAAAGATGCAAACAGACATCAGAGATCTCGAAAAGTTCTTTGACACTCTAACTAAAACTGGAAGACTTTCCATCATTACTGTGGATCTCGATTGATTATTATAGAACCATAATCATTTAAGAATATCTAATATTCTTTTCAGATGTATCTTTACGAACGACCTATGATCTCGATCACGTCATATGATCTTGATCCGAATGATTCTGTAAACATTAACTATTAATTTTTATCATTATAATCGTACTTCGAAGACTTACTAGAGTAAGTAACTGAATATGATCACTTTCAACCTCAAGCAATCAATTATATAACCCAGCCATAATTATCCCAAAATGCCTATATTTTGATCAAATCAATTTGGATTCACTGATAAGATGACAGAATCTTGATTCGACTGAGAAGACCAGGGTGTAAGTGTCGAATCGATTAAGAAGGAGCAATCTGCGCGATCTATGCGATCCAGAAGGCCTAGGAAAGATTGCGACCAACTATAAGGAAGGACGGCTAGGTGTTTAGCGGTGTCTAGACTTACCAGATTAAACACATCCGCAGCTGGGGACACCGAAATTCGCTTGTGCGGCCAGACAGACGTAACACGGTCCTTAAGAGGGAACTTCCTAACGCTAATGTTGCCGCGACAGAGGATGTCTAGCGACTGGGCAGCGCTAAACCATGGAACATTTCAATTTCCAACGAGACACCAGCTCACGTGGTACATGCAAGTTAGGAGACTACGCCTCCAGTACAGCCATCAGCGAAGCTGCACGAGATGTAAAGCCTCTGCGGCTGCAGTGCGTTGGAGACTATGCTTGGGGAAGAAGTGCGACAGTTCAACGTCAACGAGGAGTGAATAAGGTAGGATTGAATATCTTTACTTGAACGTTCTACCAAAAACGTCGTTGATTGTTCAGTGGTAAAGAGCTCGATTGCTAGAGCTTGAAGAAATCGTTACACTACCCTCTTTTTGATACTAGCTGTGGTAGTAAAGAATTTAATCAGATCGGATCCAAGCATTCGTCAATGTTTGGAGTTAATTAAAAATTGATTTCTCGTCCACGAAGTTTCTCATTGTCCTCAAGTTCTTCTGAAATGGTTCCTTATGTTTTACACATAATTTAAATGCGTAAAGTCTAAAATTAAAATATTCCCAGATATATAGATCGTATTCATAATTTTATTTTAATATCATCTGCCAGAATTGTAAATCAGCTTGGTCAATTTTGTGGTGAGAAGAAATCGTTTCAATAATTTAATATTCTTCTAATCGCGAGCGAGTGCATGTGTAAATTCACTGGCAATCGAATTACATTAAAGGGAGAAGTTCAAGGTATGTATATTTGTCTAAATTCTTGGCTCTCCCGACCGATGATTTAGCTTGTTTATTCCGTCCAGTAATTTCCGAGGATATCCATAAAACAAGAGTGAGTACGATCATTTGGCAATGGAAGTCACACAACCATGTACTAGAGTCAAGTTTGGAAGGGAAGTTATCGATTGACCCACAAAGGGAATAGCAACCGTGCGAAAGATCAAATTGCAAGTATAGAAGGTCAGCATTTAGCAAGAGGTAAGCAATGAAGAATCCAGAAATCTAAAAAATACGTCTATGTAACACGGTGTTCACATTATCTATTTCTATTCCATTATATCATGTTCTACAATTTATTTTTTAGGGTGGCACGAAAATCCATTAATCTTCAGGCGACGCTGTGTCTAGACTATGTGGAAACCAGCTATGTAGCATACTAGATAGAGTAAACTACTAGACTATATAGCATATAGCTCTATTTAAAAGTGCTGAACGAAGAACTAGATTAAACAAAATCACTTGCAAATGCTGCGAAGTATGACGAGAAGTTTCAACAATATGTCTCTTGAGTTTTTCTTTATTAAGCGTGCTAATTTATTACGAGCTTGGAAAAGTAATTTGAAAAGAGTGGAAATTGCATAATCGTCTGCTTATTAGATGAGATTACTGTCCATTAAACTAAATTAAAAGAAGTGTCGCTCACGCGTTGCAATATTTCTGAATGAAACGTTCTGAATGAAAAATATGCGGATTGCATTTCACCTGTCTCGATAAAACATTCAACTCGTCTGCGATTGATCACCGAGTAAATGATACGTAAGAGATTGTCATCGCCGTGTTGTCGTTCATACAGGTGAAAGGAATCGAGCACACCCCCGCACGCGTATCAGTGAACAAGTTTAAAAGGGAATATATCGATCGTGACGTGTAAGGGATAATACGGTCACCAGGAGGCGGATCAATTTCTAGCAGACACTAATAGTTCTTTCAAAGCCATTGCTATCATAATTCTAATTACTCCATTGTCAACCTTTGATGTTTCGTAATTTATTTTAGGCCGAAATTTAATTAACTTTGTCGCGTTCCGATACTTTTGCATTGATTAAGATTAACGAGGAATTTGGGGGAGACAATAGTTATTGGAGACAATATAATTTTGGAGACAATAGTTATTGCAATCACAAGACTTGCAATCACTGTACACATTTTCGATTTCTGGGTTACTTAAAGATGTTGTTAATTTTTGTCGTCATTAAGAAATTTTTAGTGATAGTTCGCTTCAATTATAAACAAAATTGAGGTTCTAAATATCACTGAAAGGTCAACCGAGCAGTTGTTCTACATATAGAATGCTGTGATCGGAGATAATTTCAAGTATCATCATGTAAAAATAAACTTCACAGTGGCGTACTACTTTTCTAGGTACATTTGGTTGCTAACAATGTTTACACCCTTGCTTCTCTGTCATATGAAAGCACTTAAGAGAATTCCAATTATCTAAACTTTGCTAAATATTTATAAATATGGCATTGACGAAGAACTGAATAAGGATGAGACTTTAAATTTCTCAAAAAGAATCACTTCTCTGTGCAATCGAGATCCGTTCAATAGCACCCAGTGTTACATAATCATTCGTCACCCTATCAACACAAAAACAACAGAACATAGAATCAAAATCTATCATTTTGCTATTTCCTCTGCAAGCAGAATTAAATGTTATCAGAGAACAAAGTTCAAATAAATGTATTACGAAATCATTTTTTAACAATTTCATTTGCTACATCCTGACACCATTGCAAACAATCCTGTCACACTATCCAAAAGCTGAGAAACTTTACCTCATCCCATAAGAACAATTTAACCAGAAAGACTAAACCAGCTATCTTCTAACACATTGTAAAATAAAAACAGCAATATACACTTGACACTAAATGGTATATTCACTAATCATTTAATCCTCGACATCCTGTGGGGATGCAACCCCCAGGCATTGTGCTCGACAGAGAAGGATTGTCGAAGCTCCAGCGTTGGATCTACTACCAGGGAGCATGGATTCTATCTGTTTGGTGCGGCGGTCGGTACGCAACTTACGTTCACTGGCGAGCAAACTGGATGGACGTGAAAGGGAGAGGCTCACAGGGTGCGCTAAGCCGAAGAGGAACACGAGGACGCGTGTGCGAGATGCACACACACGGACAGAGAACCAGTCGACATGGGCTCGCTTGCACACGTGAGACTGAAACTGCGTAAACCGCGCTCGAGACTGTCTGCAATGGTAGGGAGGGTGCGCAAGGGTTGGTTCGAGGTATGCGGGGGCAGCCACCCCGGCTGCGATCCATAAGCCTCTACGAACCGGCGACATCTCATGGCATCCGTGCGAAAAACGCTACCTCTGAACTCTGACCTCTGCGCTGCTGATCAGAACTAACCAAAAGTTACCCTCTGCGTTTCCTTAAAGATCTAACCCTAACGCAATAATCTAGTTCAAGATTTTGGAACTTATAATTTCTGTATTTTCTTGAAGAATAGAGGTCTTCAAATTGTGTATTCAGTAAATTAATTAAATCCCCAACGTAATTGTCCAGTTCAAAAGTTTGGGGAAACGTTCTCTTTGCATTTTGTTAAATAGTAGAGTTCCTCAAGTTGCATTTCATAAATTTCAGAATATTGGCTCAGAGTAAATTGAAAACCCAATGTTTGAGAAAGTCCTGTTGTTGAGGGTGTTTACTTCTTTCCTGCTATTGTGAAAGGGTAGACTTACCAATACATCTAAGATAAAGTTAGGTGTCGAGAATGATAAGTTTGGAAAAATGTTTCATTCACAAGGACCGGCAGGATGTATTTGGATTCAGCTGTTCGGGATTCTGGTGCAGTCACATTCGAGGTATTTATATAAAACACTGAACAGATCGTTTTATTAAAATGAACATAATGGTGATTGGTACTAGTTATCATGTTAAGTCGAAATAGTCTGCAAATATTCATCCTTTGTTCACGGTAAGAAATCATTCCATAATATATGTACGTAACGGATTGCCATAGGCAAACGAAAGCCTCGTGCGAGGGACAAAATGGATGTTATAATGTTAGAAATTATCATAAATAAAATTGAAACGCGTTCAGAAAGCACTCGCCACTCGATCAAACTACAATAATGTCTTCGGTGCTTTCAATCTATGTTATTCCACCGACTAATCTCAAGAATCTCGCGCGGGCGTCTCTCAATCATTAGTTCTATCGTCCGCGATTCGAAAAATAAAATACAGCGGTAACGAACAAATAAAAACAGTTTCTGGTCAATAGGCGAACTACATCCTATAAAAAGAACGTGCTGATAGAGTCCACCAATCATGACACCGCTGGGCGGGTCATCTTTTTCGTCCCTTCCACTCCTAGATGAGATCATTCATTCTCACATCCCATCAACGTATTTATAAAATACATCTCCAAGAAGGGGGGGTCATCCTCGTCCAGGCTCGACCGTTCGGTATTCTTTTAGTCGTCGAAACCTTGCGTTCCCACGTTCGTCCATTGCGGCCGAACAACGCGGTACCCTCCTCCTCCCTCCTCCTCCCTGCTGCCATTCGTTCATGGTCCTTCATCACAGACTGTGCTTCAAGAGAAGCTGTGGATGATGTCGCGGAGACTCGTGTACGTTCCTACCACGAAACCCAGGAGACCGAACAGCACCAAGGACATGTTCTTGGCTACCATCACCAGTTTCCCAGTCCTACCGTAAACGTTCCAGAGGGTGCAGGTCTGGATAATGGCGGGGAAGGCCAGTCCAAGACCGGAGAGGCACAAAGCACCGAATAGAGAGATGAATAAGTCAAGTTGGGGTATGGCTATGGCCAGTAGGACTAAAAACAGAAAATAAAAATAAAATTAACAAACTACTTTTAGTAGAAAGAAAAATATTTGGAAGCTACAGTAAGGTTTGAATCAGAGACTTCTAAAAATCAGCAATTGATGTTAGTTCTACATCTCCTAACACAATCAAATATTTCTCTTACATGTAAGGAGAACAAGCAGAGTTCTCACGACGTACTCCCAAAAGAGTTTATGCGAGTTCTTCTCCAACCTGGGAGCAATATACTCGTTCCAGACTATATCAATGGCAACGTAACACTGAATGGGGTGCGTGAAGAAGATGGCGATAGCCAGGAGGATTTGTACAGCCTTGGCCAAGAGTATAGGCTCGGTTAGACTGATCGTAATGCTGCCTCCAACTGTGGCGCCGTACCGGATGTACCCGAAGAATCCCAGAGCTGCGTAGAGCGTCACTATGAATCCCATGCCGATATTCAACACTCCGAAGGTTTTGATAAAGGTCTTGGGTTTCTTCATCTCGTTCTCCAAGGGCATGATCTGAAATTAGATGACCTTAAGATTTTCTGAACCTTTATTGTATTCTGAAGAGTTTATTATTTAGAATTTAGAATTTAGAGTACTCACCACACCGATAGCTTCCAGAGCAAAGAGCACGGTACCAAAGTAAAGTGGGAAGTCTTCGACTTTGCCAATTGGCTCGCGGTTCTCAAAAGACAGGGGTTCCCTGAAGATGTAGTACAATATTATACTGAAACTGACGAGCGTGATGCCGTTCGCGATGGTCGAACAGGGAGCCAAGAACTTCAGGTTCCTGATCCAGTTAACGAGGACCAAGGGAAGCAGGATCATCAGCATATACAGTCTCAGGTCGATATCCGGGAAGTAATCAGCTAAAGCCTGAAATTAAAAGAATACTTATCATCATTGATGTTCTTAAATCATTTTGTCTTAATTGATTCTAAAAATTGGACAGAGTATAAAGATATAGCAAAATATTCTGCAAGCTAATATTGGCGCTTAACTGAGCCCTTATCGACTTCGTGTGAAGATTATGTGTTTACATAGGCACGATAACACGCCATCGATCCCTTCCTCGACGCACGTGCAGCGGAGATTCAATCATTTCCCCACGTGCCATTTTACACGCTTATTTGCCGTACGATTTGAACTCGTAGTTCGAATTAATTTCATAGATACCACGCAGTTATTTTCAGTAGCTACGAGGAAACATATTTTAAGGAAGATTGCATAATCGCCCATTAAGATCACGCATTTTTAATTCGTGGATTCTGCGTAGAGCAGATGTCCTTTCGGCGCACACTCACGACCATAAACTTTCTATGGTTTATCGCGGCGCCAATATCGTAAATTAACCGTTATCGTATCGATGCAAATCAGCTGTCGTCATCGCGGAACGCCGCGCAAACAATAGCCTATCGCTGTTGCAGTCTGGGATCGCCGATATCGACGGATTCAAGGGCAACCGGAAACGAGCCCAGACGCAGCCTAACGCGTACTATTTTCGCGATCTCGTTGCGTTCAGCCTTCGTCTTTACGTAAGCCGACGCCGGTGACGTAACCGTTAACGCACGCATTCTCTTTTTTTTTATTCCCCGATTCCCATTCGCACGAATCGAATTTCTCTATGTTTCACGGAAGAAAGAACCGTTCTGCGGCGAACGCGTTGCATAAGTGACCGACACAAAGACGCGCTTCATATAGTAATTAGCGAAACGGAAACACGAATCGCTTTTCCGCAGTGGTGGACCCACTTGGAGAATTATCTAGACACCCGCACCCGTACGTCCGCGTCGCGTCATGTCAACTGCTGCAACACCGTGATTTCGTTAATTGCGTGGAGCACTCAGGATCATGTAATGCGTTCCAATCGATGCAATTCCCTCGGCATTATGCTGATTAAGCGGCCCGCTCTCGGGATCGTCGACAGCGCGTCTTGCGGAACGCAAGAATTTACGTAACCGTGTTTCTATTAGATGCTAAGCTCATCCTTGCGTCTGACGGATAATTACGGCGCTACACGAAGAAAATTAATTAGATTCGGTGCGACGCTGGAATCGATTGATGTACGAATCTATCGATCGTAGGAATCGTTAATGTAGAACATTATTTCAATGGAAAGTAGGTCGCCGGGCGTAATAATACGTCCTTAAGAGTGCTGAAATATCTAACGGGATGGTTTAATGCAAATAGTATTTCATCGGATGTAATAACACGTTTAATCTGCTAACAGTTTTACGAATGCAGCGGTATTCAACGCGACGATCGCTCATAGTAACGTAATATTACGTCAGTCGTGCGTTGAACGACGAATCGAGCCAGACGTGATGTTACGTCGGACATAACACATTGATGGCAACGATGTGTCATCGACACATAATCGTCCTAATAATTCGTTCTAATCGCAGCATAAATTTCAAATGAACATGATGCTTTCTCATCAGCGTAACTGAAAGAGATCGCGGACCGAGGAATTTGTATGAAATTACGCGTTGAGTTTCGCACACGGTCGGCTAATCACTGTGATGACTAACAAAGTGAGTTTCATCGAACAACAGGAATCGGATAACGCCGACTAGGTGTAATAGTTGAGTCGCCAGCCAGTCTCGCATAAGGTCTGCGTCGTCGTTAAAGACGTCCAGAAAAAGAAACTTGCGCTTCGGCGATGCGAACCGCCTTGGGACGTTCCATTTTCACTCGATCAAGTGTTTTCAATTCTAGTTTAACAACCGCGGTGCGTTCTCTCTCAAGAGTAATAAGGCGAAACAAGATAATTCCATCAAAATTGACCGAGAAAACTTGACACCTGTAAATGAACGTCTAGATTTTGAGGTCCTATAAACTGTGCCCCAGTGTCCGGGACCTAGGACCCAGGTCACCGCGAAGCCGGTCGAGTCTCGATCGAGCTGACATATTCGGAAAAATTAGCCAGGAACTCTAGAGCTTTTGCGCCCGGCAGAAAATTACACCTTAGTTCCGGTCGCAGCCGGATCGAACCGATTCCGATCGGCGTGCACCGCATTATGCAACGGTCCGAGGGATTATATCGACCGCTTATAAATTCCGTTCGCAAATAGGGGTCTGTCTAATCTTTTTACTATCGAAAATTACACGGGGATCGAGCTAATCGACGATTAATCGTTCGGAGAACCTGGGAACCGTGCAACCGGACGAATTGAATACCTCGCGGCATTACCGTAAACTGCGTCTGGGTACCAATTATCACATTCTTGCTCGTTCATTTTATGCAACTATGCAATTTGCTCGTTTATCCTCTATCTTTGGGTCGCCGAACAACTCTGTTCAGAGGATACAGGAGCAAACTACTTTTACAGCTTTCAAGAAAGATCATTTTTGTTTAGCTTTGGTCTAATTCTATTGTCTAATTCTAGTTGACTTTTGTGAAGCGGAGAAACGTACAAGGAACAACAATCGTTCCATTGGATAATCTGTGTCGAATATTTCGTCTCGCGATTCAAATCGTGCTCGGTCGAAAGGTCGCCGCAGGCATCTTGCATTTCATCTTCGTGCTACTTGGTGGAGTTCAAAGAAAAATCGGCGGTTTGAATGGGACAGGTGTTCATCCACTGTCAAACGAGTCGATTAATCAAACAACATTGTCTGCGGGTCACGGTTCTCTCTTCGACGGAGGCTCGCTCGCGAGAATCGAATATGCTCCTTCTAGCGCGGCCAACCGCGACAAGACTCAAGTTTTCACCATCGGTGCCCGTTGCATCCACATTCTATCCAGTCGGTGTAATAACGTGTCGCAACCGTGCCGCTAACTATCCATTACATTGCGTAGTAAGCGACACGTTACGCACCCTAGCTAAACCAACACCGACACGCTCGCCGTCCAGTTTTTCTCAGCACACCACGAAATCGAATATTGAGTCTCTAGCGTTTTTTACAGAACTCGCTGACTAAGTTACAGAAGCCTGACTTGTAATCGTCTTTTACTTATTTCGTCTATTACGCGTTTGTGACAAAGTTCAGCGAGTGAAATTTAATAGTAGTAGGAAGATTAAGAAATAAAAATGTATGTATGCACATACAGATCCGCAGCTGAATCATAATATTGCACAAAGTGTATGCTCTCTATATCAGAATTCGTTATTAATTAAAGTAGGTTAGAGATTGTGTCTGTCAAGTCAACAGCTTGAAGACAAGCTGCTTCTAAAGTCATAGATCATTTTTACCTATTTGATCCTTCTCTTTAGAAGGATCCTCAAAATCTGTTCTCACATCAAACTGCATTCAATAACTTCACGTAATTGCGTATGTGAAATATAGAATTTAAGATCCCGTTAAAACGAATACAAAGGAAGATTGCTCCAATTAAATCGATACTGTTAGACAACTTGGAACGAAGGTGGAATCGCGTATAATTAATCGGATCGAGTTTCAAGAACGCTATAGACACCGACCTAGCATGTAACACGGTCAGCTGTTCTATTGCCAGACTCTATCGCGTTTAAAGAAGCTAATGAACCCAGAGGAATTAACAAACGGGACGATTGAAATTTTTACGACGCCAGTGAACGTGAGCGGAATCGACTCGCAGTTGCACGACAAAGTACAGTGAAACGGAATCAAACCAGACTATCCGATGACCTCTCACACCGGATTCATGATAGTTCAGAGAGCCGGTCTCTTCCGATCCTCCTACCACCAGAATGATCCTACAATCGTCGAGCGACGTGCTGAATCCTTAAGCACTCCGGGAAGTACCGGCACAACCCACGGAATTTTTAATCCGACGTTCATCAAAAGAATGATGAGTAATCCTGTCTCGGACCTGTTAACCCTAGCGGACGGGTTCACTGTTCGGTTCTCTTGCTGCGTAATTGTTTGAGACTGTCTTATGCGTCCAATGAGTCTTCTGTTAATCCAGACCTAACTCTATTGCATTTGGCTAGGCATTTCTAACTTTCTATCATCTTTTCAGTTCTATCTACAATATGAATTTCTGTATGAATTAATTTACTCGTATAATTTAGTGTCTACTAAAAGTAGTCCTCCAGATCTCTGTTACCAACAACCATCCAAATAAAGGCGCATGACTCTTTATTGTTGTAACGAATCAAGGTCTGTTTCATATCCAACTCATAGGATCTTGGAGGACATAGTCCTCGAAGGACTCGAACATGCAACGATCACTTTTCATTCAATGAGTGAGAAATGGTTAGGCAGAAATGGAGAGTCGAGGAAGTGTAATGAAACAACGACTCACGGTCAGAGTTAACATTCACCGGTTCTTCGGCTCGAGGAGCTTCCTGATCGTGCAGAAACGGCTGTTGTCCTCGTAAATAAGCGTTTAAACGGCGGCCACATCCTCCCCATCGCGAAATGTCAACGAACCTGTCCGTGTGCACGCGCATTATCACCTTGACTCCGACGCTCATTACTCGCCCGGCACCGTCTAATCGTTTATTCCTCGCGCCGTGTTTCCCTGACCTACATGCTCCTTTTTCTCGCTGCCCACACAACCGTCTCTCTCTTGAGAGAGAGAGAGAGACTGGCTCTCCGCGCGTGCTCTTTACGGTAAAAGCTGGATCGACGTGTACGCTCGTTTCTGTATTTACTATTTCTATACCGGATCACTGTGGTTCTAACGCTCCGACGTCCACAATCACAGCTGCGTGACTTCTCTCTGTCAAATTATTGCTATAACAGCAAAATTCAGCGCCTTCGAGCAAGCTTTTGGAAAATGTGTGGCCATCAAAACGTTAGATCAAGCAACCTCCAAAAGCCTTCTTTTGGTAAATTGATTACTAGACTGCAGATCTTTATGCAGAATAAAACTGGCCTGCGTCAGTAGCAGAAACCAGAAGTAAAGTAGAAAGTCGCGTCTTCTCTGGACCCGATGACAACAACGCAGTATTCTTTGATTTTTCTGCTACGTTTACTGTCTCCTGTTTCATCTACCAATCCTCGCCATCACTACATCGCAGTTTATTAATTACTCTTTAAAGAAGCATGTGCCTCGAGCTACACCTTGCTTCTCCTGTAACAGATTAATTGAAAGAATTACACTAACCGCTTTCAAATTCGTGCCGATGAACACCGTGTAGACGCAGCAGCTGCCCAGCTGATAGATCATCAGGAACAAATTTATGACATGTCTGCAAATAAGAATACCTGCGTGTGTATCTGTTGTTGAATTGATTAATCTTCTAAATGTTATTTATAGATTCGGTTGAACGGTGTGTAGAATGTAGAATGTGTACTCACACTGACGATTTCGATAGTGGCCTGAACAACGTTGGACCCACGGACAACGCAGCTTCTGCTGTCGCGGGATATGTCAGCGATGGCACCTTCTTCCTCTTACAGAGCTCATACTGCGAGGTGACGAGGATTCGTATACAGTAAGTACAAAGTAGACCAATGATGATTGTTGCCACTAGACCCACTGCGTAGCCTGAATGGTGAAAGGCCTTCGGCATCGCGAGGATTCCGGTTCCCAAGCTTCCCTTTAGCAAGTGCAGCAGAGTCTCCCAGCTCCTGAAATGGTCATCCAGCTGTTACCATTTTTCTTAATCTAAATACTCAATTTCTTAAGACTTTGCACAATCGGTAGGGACTCTAAGATGATAAATAATATTAATGTGGGTAGTAGTAGCATTTTGAAAGGGTCGATAGTGTTTACGCTAACTAAAAGATTGCTTCCAGCGTAAAGAATTAAGTAGGTAGCTTCTGTGGATTTTGGAGGCGACGGGATAGACAGAATTATTTGCTTAATGAGGCCCATTTACGGAAACGAGAGCACAATTTTCGAAAACGTGGCCGACATTAACGCACGCGTTTGCCGTTAAACGCGAGAACAAGGCTAGCAGCGTTTCTGTGTTCCTCGAAGCAGTTTCGCAGAGGACAATCTTATTCTTCCGCTTCATGACTAATCGCCGCAACAAATTACCGGGTAATTTGTATCTAGAGAAACGCGGTCGGAATAAACGATAAGGCTACAGCATGTGCACTAAGCCCGGTATTATGCAAATCCTCGCGATTTCGTTCAGTTAACTATCGTATCGATTTGCAAATTATTCTTTTTCCTCATCGATAGGAAAAGGATGACGGAGAAAATCCTGGATAACGCTTGCTCTCTAAAATAGTGCGACAAAATCAGCGTGTAATAATTAGACGAAAGAGAATGCAATTAAGTAAAGAAGTTAGATAAAAGGACCTCGAAAACTTACGTTGTTGGATGCTGAACTACCCTGTGCTCGTACGGATTATAATCTTCCTCATACTCTTGCACACTCTTCTTCTTGTCTTCCAACTCCAAAACGTAGACGTTGCTCTTATTATGTCCCTGGTCATAACTGAAACGCAAGTGACATTATTAGAAGTTGAAAATGGCATAAAGAGAAATATTATTTTAAGATTCATTGATATTATTGAGTTGCAGCTTACCCATTTTGATTATTCTGTGAGGTCCACTTTTTGGCGTCCAGACCATCCTGAAAAAAGAAGAGGAAACTCTCATTAATTATGATTTCCAAGTTTGCACACATAATGCATACGCAAAAGTCTTCGTCTTTCAACAATTTAAGAATATGCAAATACGTAGGCAGTTGGGTTAATCACCGATGCAGACATTAATCAATTCGAATTCAGTCTGTCCGGTTATTAATCACACCTATCGTCTTCTCCATTGATTAATAAATTACTGACTGGCCATTATTCACACATTATTGACCAGTCGATGCGTTACCAAACGTATTATAAAACGTTTTGTTTGTCTAATAAATCGATGTCCCACTCATTTGTCAATCAGTTAGCCAAGTTCCGGTTTATCTGAAGTCCATTAAAATGCTAAAGAGTTATTCGAAGATCGTCAATAAATGCAATCATGCCCGACAAGCACAATTCGCCAAGGATCTCGCGTTTCTCTTCGATCATTCGACTTAGCATTCACTGGCTGTCTCGCTGATCCAACGCACAATCGAATCAGCGTCGAATCAACGCGTGTTAAATTCGCCGCATCGCGTCGATCACTGCGCGTCCGCACATGGGCCGATAAAGATCTGTCGACGCTTCCCGGTATTAGATTTACGATGATGTAAATTCGAACCGCGTTGATTAGGAAACTCTTTGTCAACTGAAATTCACGGTCGGGGATGAATAGCCGGTTGCAGCGGAATTGCGGAAGACCAAACAAAACAGAGATTAAAGATAAGAGTGTTTTGTGTGCTGCGGCGCACATAAATCGTGCCGCTGAAGACAACTAACATCTGTTTTTCAACGGTCAGTAAGCAATTAATTTTCACGCGCGCATCCCGAAAATCGTTTCGCTCAGTTCTCCTGAATATTTCGGAGATTTCATTTTCAATGAAAAAAATCAGACTCGCGACTTCAAGAACATTTCGAATATTCAAGTAAATTTTTCGACTAAAATTTGATTCGCCTAATGTATCGTATAAATTCTTCTAATAAAATTTTATTGGAATAATACAGGTGCGTTTAACGTGTGACACAAAGAACTGATATCGATGTTGTACAATTTCGTTAAGGTTTATTTCTTCTTAAGGTTTTCGTTAAGGTTTTTTCGTTTCGGTTTGAAAATAGTTGCAGATACATTAATTATTGGTCATTTTTATTGACTTTTCTGCTAGACGATATTCAATTGAACGATCGTAACATAAAATTAAGAAACAATTTCGCCTGTGCTGTGAACTGTAAACAAGCTTGTCGCACCATTATCTCTAGTTCCTTCCAACACGAAAAATACCAAAGTATGACGTCATAATTTGTCAGGAATGTTTTACTCCGAGCAACTGGTATCGGTTTTTTTCTTTTATCAGGAAACGATTAATCGAATCTGATCCTATTCCATTTCGATTAGTTTCACAAGAACTTAAATCTGGATTAAGATATCGTTCTTTGGATTACAAAAGCTAGATTACGATGTTTGCGCACGACTGTCCAAGTACTGAGAGTTACATATAAATAAAGAGTAGATGCGCGTGCAGGTACTCTTGTCGTCGTATCAGTAATGACTATTCTTTGAAATCTGAACATTGTTACTTTGTAAGAAAAGAAAAGGTAAGGTAAGATAATCTCAGTGAATCATCCTAAATCGTCCGTTGTATCAAATTCGGTTTAAGCTGAATCACATGAATCCAAAGATCAGCTAACCTAAGGTCAACGTTTGTCGTTTATGAATCGCTTACATGGAACGAACGGTGAACAGAAATGAAGTATGTAATCGTATGCGAACTATCGCGAGCGGTTTAAGCATAGTTTACCGGTCGAGTCACGTACCGTACATGACCGTCAAAACGTACAAGGGAACATCGTACTCTCAATGTTAATCTTCATCCGTGCAGATCCGGCCTTCGGCTAATCGGAAGTCGAACAACTTCCTTCGAATTTGAATTTACAATGGAATCGAAGTTTCCGTAGAAACGCGATTTTCGCGAGAAATAGTGCATTCTCTATCCACCGTGCATTCCCCACCATCTTTCTCGTTAAAAAGAGGGAAAATCTTAAAAACTGACTCAAAAAATTTATCTACTCGATCAACGTCTTCTCAGTATTGCGGTACGTAATATAATTATAGTATAGAATTGCAGTACGTAAATCAAGTTTTCTTCGCAACATAGTAATTAATAGATATTCATTTCATAACTATCCTGCAAAATCGCCTAAAGATAAATAATTCTATCTTAAAATAATGAACAGTAACAACGCTCTTGAATTTTCTCATTATTTTATCTCATACTTTCAATCGAACCAAACAATTCTTGCACATCTCTAATTATTGCAAAGCAGTGTAAAATCACAGCGAACCTACAATTTGAACGAAACTATGCATTTTTTCAATACATTCTTTAGATCTCTTTCCTAGGTTTAAATCATTTAATCCAAGAAATTCCTCCAGCACCTTAACACTTTATATAACTCTAAACAAAAATCCAATCTTCTCTGACCACTTTTACCGGAGGAACTTCATGGAACAGTTGCTACAAACCGCGGCGATATTTTATTCCGGTGAACCATAAAAATGTCTGTTTGCGTAATCAGATGGTATTGTCTGTGTCCTGCTTAATTAGTATGTGCCGTAGCATCGTCGATCTTTTGCGTCCGCGTTAGAAATTCAGATTCACGTTGCACGCGGCTTGCTCGCAGTTTGTCAGATGCTGCGCCGATCGGCCGATCGATCGGCGTGTTACGATTCTAGTATCCGGCGCAGCGTGCGAACGTTACGTCATATGCGAAAGTATTACGAAAGCGGCGGCGTTTAATGAGCTCATACACGCAAATATTTCTATCCGGGAGCAACTAGCCTATTCGGGGAATCGGCCTATTTCAAACGGGATTTTCCGTTTACGATGATCGATTCACGAGCGATTGAAAATCACCGTTGTTATCGTGATATAACGCGGCACGATTATCGCGTGGGCATCCTCGTGCCAGATTACAGAAAAATAACACGGTAACGAGAGAAACGGTAACGTCCGCCGTTACGTCAACGAAATGACTAATTGGGGAATCCTACTAATGTGGAAAGAAATTTTTTCTCCGGTTGTAATTAAAATATTTTTAAAAAATTGTAAAAGATCGATCGGCAACATTTTTACCGTTATTAATAGAGTGCGGATTGTTTGTCAAGATGAAAATTGTCTACATAAATTGCAAGATGCAGGAGTTGCGAATAATACAATAATGTTGTTACATTTCCTAAATGTTTTCGTTAGTTTGTGATTGATCTACACATGTTTGTTATAAATGCATAAAATATTGTAACAAATCAACACCCGAACGGCGGACTTCTCTGATAAAACTGTAACAAAGTATGCTTAGAATAATTTGCAATTTTATTCATGAAATTTGTTAAACAGAAATTCGTTGGACCTTTCGACAGACCTTTACGAAACATGTAATAAAAATGTAAATTTATTGTCGGAAACTGAATCAATGTTTATACTCGTGGTCCGAGCGGTTAAATGACATATAACTTGAGAGTTTTGTAATGTGAAAAGACGATGATCCTTTGTCGTTTCGATAGTGAAAAGCAAATGGCCTTTTCGTCTTCGCCAGCGTAATTCTCGTGTAAACAGTTCGATCGTGCTTGACCGAGAAGGAGGTGGAGAAATAAGCTCAGGAAAAAAAGAGCGGAATTTCTTCGAGTGCAACCTCGTTTTGGAGGAAATCGAGTTCGGAAACTCGCCGCGTCCACGTGCAGGTATTAATATTTGCGAGAAGTAGAGACATCGAGCCACGGACAGACGTGTAGAACGAGTTTCCAAACTCGATTTCCTCGGACCCGTAGCCCGGACGAAAGAGATTTCCTTATCCGACTTCTTTGCCGAGCTACAACATTATCTAACGGCGCAATGAAAAATATCACGAGCCAAAACGACCGTTCGATTCGATATGAAACATGACGAAGGAAATCGACAGCTGTTTCGTTTCTGTTCCTGTTACTTTACAGTTCCTTCGACAATTACAGTTAGGCGCGTTATTATATGCTGTAACTTTAATAATAATAACTTTTAATAATTGTTAATAGTTATCATTATTTATTATTAATTATAAATATTAATAATTATTAATAATTGTTCATAGTTATTATTATTTATGCGCCGTAACTTTAATAATAATAGCAATAATAACTTTATTCATATATATATATATATTTCTTTTTTCTGCATTTATGACAGAACAGAAGATGTTTTTGCAACTTCTTCGGATGATTAAGGAAGGAAACCAATTTCTATAAAGCTTTTCTACGCGCGGTTTAATGACGTTGAATGAATAAATAACAATAAATTCCTTCGAGAATTGATAGGGAAGTATTCTGAGAAGTTTGTAAGGAAAAGTCACATGTAGGACAGTGTTTGCGGTATAAGGATAGTCGATCGAATGTGAAACATTAGGAGGAAAGTTATTAGATGTGGAACAGATGCATCGAAGACGTTCGTGCCAGATAGATGATACAGTTGCATCACTGAAGATGCAGAAGATAGCTGCATGTGTCTGACCAACGACGGCTGCATCTACTACTGATCCGACGAGCCGTTGCATCGGTCGCGATTCGTATATCTGTGATTCAAAAATGTTCACAAACAACGAACACAAAAATCAGTAATCTAAAAAAGTCTTTAATGATTTAATTATTCAATAGCGCTGGACAGACATAGCTCTAAAGTAATTTAGTTTTGGTCAGGTCTTTTCAAAAATCATATCTAATTATTATCAATATTGAAGCACATTCCAAATTACTATTACAATATATAAAATATACAATGAAAAGCTTCTTATTAAATTAAGATTCATCAGGATTTCATCAGGATTCGAAATGAAGATAGGAAAAATTCTAAATCTTTTCAGAAATCATACTTAATTATTATCAATATCCAAGCACGCCTAATTTCGAATTATTATTTCAATATACGATGAAAAGTATCTTATGAAATTGATTGAGTTCTTATCAGGATCGAAATTTCAAGTCGGT